ATTCTAAATGCTGTGAATTGTACCCTGTAGTAAGCTGGATATTCTTGTATTTCTGTAAGTTTTCTTGAGGTTTGTTCTTGGATGTGATTAAGTTACTTGGAAACAGTTTGATGTGTCCTCTTCTTGCTTTTAAGTTTTTTCAGGCAGGACTAGAGTAGCCCTACCCTAGTTTAATGTACGGTTAATGTTCTTTCCTGAACTGAGACAATACTCTTCTCAGAATTCTACCTGCTTCCTGATTTTTTTCTACTCTTGCCATTTGGGAACAGGCACTGTTCCTGGTCCTGTGTGAGCTTGGGAGTCTTGTTCTCCATAATTCTTTTGTGTGGTTATTTTTCCAGCCTTGGGTAGTTTGTTCATGTGCATGTTCAGGTCAATACACAAGGAGGACCCTCTTTAGACCTCTGAGTTCTGTTTTTATGCAACTCCTTCCTCTCCAGTACTCTGCTCTGCAAATTATATTTACCTAGCCTCTGTGAATTTCCAGCTCTTTCTCATCAATACACATGCAAAGGTCATTTGGTAGGAAGACCATGGTGTCTGAAAAGCAGAGAGAAGTCCCATGTGACAGGAAGGACCATGGCATCCAATGAGCACAGAGAAAGCCCTTGCTGCTGGAGGATCCCAGGTATCTGAGGAGGAGAGAGGAAGACCATATTGCTGGGGGCGGGGGGCATGGTTTGTGGCATCTGAGGGCAGACAGGAGACCCCCATGGCTGAAACAGAAGAACTAGGCTTTCCATGTTCTCAAGACAAAGACTCAAATTTGTACTTTGGCTTTCATCGGTGGATAATTGATGGTGATCCAGAAGGATCTAATTGATCAGCAAGTCAGCAATCAATTATTCAATAGGATTTGTTTCCACTCACAGTCAAATCTTTCCACTGGGATGAGGATATAGTTCAGTGGAAGAGTGCTGGCCTAGCAGGCACAAGGCCCTGGGTTCAATCTCTACCACCACACATACATGCACACACACACACACACACACACACACACACACACACACACACCTTTCAACTTATTTTCAGCCCTGCCAGTGTAACTCTATGAAAATTGATTCTCTGACAGTAGATATCAGTTTTTAAGCCTAACAAGTCAGAACCAATCAATCCTTCAAAGGTTCCTATCAATTTTTGAATTATTTCTACATCCTATTGGACAGATTCAGCCTTCTTACATCATATTCCCCAGTCTCACATGCCAATTTTGGTTTTCATAACTTGCTTAACTTACTGGAGTTCAGGTGACCTGGCAGGTAAGAGGTGGCTTCCTCGCTTTACCTGGAGACACAGCACTCCTGAATGTGCTCTGACATAACCAAACTTTTGCTCCCTTTGGAGGCTGGAAAGGTCATACTTATGTCTAAATCAGGTATTGAAAAAGGAAAAAAAGAGAGCTCAGATTATTCTTTATTTAAGCCCCCCCAAAAAAAGACTGTCTTATATCTTTCGCCGTGAGGCCAAGCCCCTCCAGGAGAACTTTCTTGACATCATGGCCCTGAGTGGATGGGAGATACACATTCATGAGGGTGGAGAGACATTTCCAAGAAGACCCAGTTGTCTTCAGCTTTTTCATTTGGTCTCCAATGTTGACTTGGGACCTAGCATTTCACTGACGTAGGAAAGAAGCCAGTGCACGTGAGTCAACTCAATTCATACTTAAACAATAAAAATTCTCAACAAAATGGTAAGAGTGCAAAGATTGTATGACTTGGCACTCTTCCAGAAATTAGTCATTATGATGTATTTTGTCTTTAATTGGCATTATGATGTTGCAACAATAAATTCCAYGAAGAAAACTAGGAAGTAACTTTTACTTCTTGGCAAAATTATAGGTGAAACAAGTGTCTCTGACCACCTCCAAGTCAGGAGCTGAGGAGGGCCATAGAATTCAGAGGACTGTGCTGCTGGGGTGGGGAGAGCAGGGAGACAGAAAGGGGTAGGGAGGGGCTTTATTTTGTCTTGTTTGTGAAAAAAACAATTAAAATGTCTGAGCTGGGTGGATGTAATCTYAAAGACAAATCAATCCAAATATTGGTGCTACATGAGAAATAGGTCCCAAACACATTGTATGAGCTGACCAAGATCACTCAGCTTAACACCACCCCCGGGTTGGAGAACCACAGCTTCCAACTTCCAGTCTCATTACAATACCGGGTCTTCCTTCCATGACAGACTGAGGAACTGCCATCAGTCACCCTGGCTGATACAATGCCTGTACAGGAATGTCTCTGGGATAATCTTAGTTTTTTTATCTTATACTTTCATGTAGAAAAAGGAAAGCCACACATATTTTGTAGGTTCATAAAAATGACTTTACTTTCCACTTTATTCCAAAATAAGTTTTTGTGTATACAGCAGAAAAAATTACAGAAACACTGAACCTTATACTGTTTTTAATAGAAACAATTTGAAGTTAGGATTCTAAGCAATGGATTGTAAGTAGAATTAAATAAATGATCCAAAATGCAAGCCGTATCTTACTTAATAGGCTGCRAGGCTTTTTGACATGGATATTTCAATGCACTGCAGGGTCAGAGGATGAAAACTGYCATCTCCATCTTATGAGTACAGAACAGAGGCTCCGGGAGATCAGCAGTGTGTGCTAGGGCTGAGTCACGAGTATCGAAGTCACAGCTGACTCCTCCGTAAATCCAAGGTCCTTCCCAACATGTAAGAGAAGTAAAAGTACCAGTATCCCTGGCCACATCTGCTTACAAATGGCCAAATCTTCCTGTCAAGGGAACTAAACTCTAGGGACAGGGCAAGGTGGCTTTAAAAAGCAGGGGTTGGCATGGGCCATCGGTTGATGGGCTTTAATAGAACCCATTCTGTTATTCAGGAAAGTAGAACACACTTCTGACCCATCAGAGGCCCTGGGTAAAGAAATAAATGTTTTCTCGGATACCCAGGTGACTCATGGAGCAGTCAGATGTTCCCTGGGATGCTCTGGACTGGGGTTTCCCAGAAGGATGTCTGACCTGCTCAAAGGCAATGGCCCTGAATGGGGGAGCCAGGTTGCCTAGAAACCTCCTCCAGGAAGAGAAGGTCAAAGCCTGTCCCAAGCTGGCTGACACTGTCCTGGATTTTCCTTGGACGGCAGGTGTGTGGTACTTGGCCCATCCCTTGGTGCTCATCCCCTGAGTCCTCTTGATCTCTCTTCCTGCAAGATTTTTTAAAATCATGATACTCCAAGGACACGAGCCTTTTCTCCACTCTGATGGAGTGGATAAGCTRTCATTCCTAATAATCTTTCAGGGCCACTCTTTCCTCCCCTGCCCCTTCTTTGCCCTCCACACGAGTGCGTGCACACAGACACAAAGCCTGTTGCAGAACTGTCTTCCTCAGATGCTGTCTGATCACAGACTCAGGTGGGGGTRATGAATGATGTGTCTCCTTGACCAGGTGGGTGTTAGACATCTGATGTGCTAGGAAGTCACCTTGCCCACAGTCACAGAGAACATGAAATTAGGGATGAGGGAAAAAGGAGGGGATGGGCGAAAATGGGGAGGGGAATGGAGAGGCATTGAAAACTGGAAAAAGGAGTTGCTTAAAAGCCAGAGGGGGGGGGGTCTATTCTAGAGCAATTCCCACAAAATAGGACAGACTGATTGTTCTTTGTCCAGTTATCTTAATGGGCCCAACACCACTCCAGGTGGTCTCTCTTTTTCCATGGGGCCTCCCTGGAGAGAGCCCTCAGCAAGATAAAATGGCAATGCTATTCTTGGGCTCAAGAATCATGTGCCCTCCAAAGGATACTTTTTAATAAAAGAAATTACATCTTTAGCAACCACCCTTAAGGCACTAAAGGTCAAAGACAGCTGAGGAACTGTCATCAGAAGTATTCATCAAAATGCCTCATTGTAAAGAAAAGTCATTTTAACATGAAATGCAAATCTCCACCAGCTTCAACCTCTTGAAGGCTAAAGGTAAAACCGCAGTCCCTGCACTTGGAATTGGGAACTTGAAAGAAAAACTGGCCTTTTCTGGTTCCCATGTAAAGACAGTATCACATCTAGGTTTGAAGTTTCACCGGCTACTAAGRATACCTGGAAACCTCTTTAAATGTCAACAATTTGGGGTGAAGTTCATGGAAAAAGTTTGCCATAAATATTTCAATGGTGACTTTATGACTATGGGTAACAAGTGCTGGAGATCAGCTGCTTAAATTTATCAGGAGAGCAATATGGGAAAAGGTAGGAAGGGACTAGGGAGAGAGAACTAACATTCTTAATGCCTACTAAGTGGCAAACACTTCCCTTTACTTCTTAYTTAATCTTTTCAATGACCACATGAAGCAAGAACTATCATCCCCTCTTTTGCAAAGCCAAAAACGGAGKCTTGGAGAAGTTAATCAATGCCATACAGCTTGTTTGGTGGCAGGTCCTGCTCAGGAGGCCATATTCTTTCCACTGCTGTATGACGTGATCCAACCAGATGTGATCAGGGAACGTGTGGCTCCCCGTGACTTCTACCCTGAGATATTCAGAAAGAGGAACTGGCTTCCCCTTGCACCGTTCACATAAGTTTCATTTATATCCTAACTTGTGGTTGATCTTGGCTGACCATGGGTGGACATAGAAGCCAGGTCTGACAGCTGCTGCATCTTCTTCTTCTTCTTTTTTTGGTTTTTTTTTAAAGAAAAGAGATGTAAGAAAAAGATGAGAAGACAGCAAGACACTCAGAAACCGGACCCTTTTCCCCAGATCGMAAAGAAAAGCAAGTTCCCACTGAGGTCAGGAATAGGACCTACGGGGCTGTATCTGATAAACGGCAACTCACCTGGTGCTTCACTGCTTATTAAACCACAAGGTCTGAGAGTTAGAATGAATCTTATTGGAACCATCCCCTAAAGAGATAAATCAACCCCAAAGTGTTCCAGACCTATAAATAAAATTTGAAGTGGTTAAAAAGCAGCTTGGTACATAGCCTCTTCGAGCACAAATCCCTGGGTTTCAGCCATCTTTGGCTCCTTTCTGCTCCATGATGAAGCCATATCATTCTAGACTCAGTCTGGGTATAAGCCACCAGAGTCCCCTCCTCCTCTCTCTTTCTTCAGGAGGACGGTAAGTGTCAGGCAGGGGCTCCTCGCCTCCCACTACAGTCTTCACGTATATGTGGGCTTCTTGTGCTCCTATTGTATTCTCATCAGTGGGTGACCTCCTAGGATTCTTGAGAGAACAGAGATTTAAAAAAAAATACACTAGAGGCTTCTGCTTCTGACCAAGATGGAGTAACAATAGCCATATACATTTACCCTCCCACATGAAACCAACCCAAATCAGATAAAGCATTTAAAATAATAGTATTCAGGACCCTGGACATCAGGTGAGGAAATACAGTAACCCTCGAGGGACAGAAAACAGAAAAGAAGGGTCTGTAATTACCTGAACTTACTGCCATGGGAGGCTCGTAGGTCACTCAACACTTTTGCTTATTGTTAGCATAGTGTCTCTTTTTCTGACCTTTAACTTTTAATCTGTCCCAGTCTCTATATTTAAAGTTGGGTTTTGTGGACATCTTATAGTTGGATCTTGTTTTTATAGACAATCTAATATCTCTGCCTTTTAACTGAGAGTATTTAGATAATTTACATTTAATGGGATTATTGGTATGGTTGGGGTTAAATCTAACATCTTGCTATTGGTTTTCTTTTCTTTTTAAAATATTTTATTATTTTTTAGTTGTAGTTGGACACAATACCTCCATTTCATTTATTTATTTTTATGTGGTGCTGAGRATAGAACCAAGGGCCCCCCACATGCGAGGCGAGTGCTCTACCGCTAAGCCACAATCCCAGCCCCTTGCTATTGGTTTTCTATTGGTTTTATCTGTTCATGGTTTCTTTTAAAATATTTTTCCTGCCTTATTCCATATAGATTGTAGAAGAACTTTAATTAATTTCATGAAAACAAATCTACTAGGATTAAATTAAATTATGTTTATTATCTAGGTAATAAAGTAACCTTAAATTTGTGGTGTTTGACATCTTTGTGCTACTGATTTTTCTACCCAGGAGCATGGTATATATCTGAATTATTCAGGTATTAGTGTCTTTTACTAAATTTTTATTATTTTCCATAAAAGGATTACATATTTTTGTAACATTTGTTCTTCAACATTCTATATATTTATATTACCACTGTAAAATAATAATTCATAAAATTACTTTTCCTAATTGTTGCTGATCTCAAGAAATGCACATTACTTTGTATATTGATTTTTGTATTCACTGAACTTGTTCAAATATCTCGTTAATTCTAATAATTTATGCTTAGATTATTTGGCTTTTCTATGTAGACAAACATATAATCTGCAAATAATGCCAATTTTGTTTCTTCCTATTTAGTCTTATRTTTTCTGTTTTTTTCCCTAGCCTACTGTATCGACCAGGACCTAAAGTACAATATTGGAGAGAAGTGATGAGCATTCTTGATTTATATCTGGTAATCACAGAAAAAGAAAAGAATGCTTTCAAAATTTTGCGTTTAGGTATGATTTTTGTGTAATTATTAAAATGATGTTATTTTGCAAGTTAAGAAGTTTCTACTCTGGTTTTCTAAAAGTTCATATCAGAAGGGATTGTTGAGTTTGTTTCAAACTCTCTTCTCCAATGAGGTGGTCACACAATATTTCTCTTTCAATTTGTCAGTGAAATAGATGATATGAAATTAATTTTCTAATATTAAATTTACTTGAACTCCAATAAAAATGCATAAAGAACCTCCTTTGTGCTTGAGCTTCATTTGGCTGCATCCCTTCCATTTGCTCATGTGTACTTTGTGCATTAGCTTGCTTACTATTGTATTAGTCATTTATAGAGATTATAATAAAAATTCTTACCTCAGCTATCTTGGGATTGTCATAGATTTCTGAAATTTCACATGGTCTCTCACTTTCCTAAATTGGTTAAAAAAAAAAAAAAGTGAAGAGTCACAAGTTTTGACCATAACCACGGATTAGACTCAGTGGTCCTTAAACCTGAATGCATATTAGAATCACTAGAAAACTTTAAAAACAAAGCAAATACATAATAAAAATGATACCTCCCTTAAAAAACTGAAGAAATATCACTATGAGTTATTTAAAAATAATCCAGAATTATCAGGGGTGGAGAGATAAAACAAGACTGGCCATGAGTTGATAATTGGATTCACTGTACTATTTTACTCTAGTATATGTTCAAAATTACAATAATCCCTCTTTGTCCAAGATTTTGCTTTCCATAGTTTTAGTCACTATGACACAACAGGGCCCAAAAAATGTTAATGAAAACTTCCTAAAACAATCTAAATTTTAAATTTCTATTTTGAGCAGCCTGATGAAGTCTTGGGCCATCCTGCTTTCTCCCACCTGGAAAGTAATCATCCAATCCCTTTATCCAGTGTATCCATGCTGTATATGTTACCCATCCCATGCAATTAAGARACCACATTCACAAAACATTAATTACAACATATTATCATAATTTTTCTATTTTATTATTAGTTATTGTTAATCTCTTACTCTGTCTAATTTATAAATCAAACTTTTTCATAGGTATATATGCATAATGTATATATGAATATGTAGGGTTCATTATTATCCACAGAATCAAACATCTACTGTGGAGTCTTAGAATGTATCATTCTAAGACKGGGAGCACTACTGTGTCTATAATAAAAATATCATTCTAAGGGTGGGGAGCACTACTGTGTCCATAATAAAAATATCTRTTTTTTAAAGGGTCAATGCCACAGCTCTATTGTCCAGAAATTCTGACTTAATTTGTTTTGGTGAATGGTAATTTTAAAGTGMACTGCAGGGTCAGAAACTATTACTTAAATAAATAATACCACAGTCACCTAGTACTTCCTACTGTGTTTAAAGTTCACATCTTGTCAACACACCTTTACATGTGTTATACAGATGTTCACCATTCAAGGTGTCATTTTGTTCTTATGATTTCGTTTACTCCTTAGACTAGGATGGGTAGGGTTTTTTTTTTTTTTTTTTTTTTTCCTGGCATTGATGATTGAATCCAGGGCCTTGCACATGCTTGCCAAGTGCTCTACCACTGAGCTATATCCCCAGCTCAGGGAGGTAATTTTTATCCTGATTTTGAATTGAACCAACCAAAGCATAGAAAATATGACTGGTCTAGGATCATAGAAATCATAGGGCGGCAGAGCCGGGATAAGAACCAAGGYTTTCTATCTCCCCGTTAGTGCTTACTTAGCACTGTGAAAACAACCAGGGATGTTTATAAACAGGGTGGAATTAGAAGTCAGAGTCTATGTGATCACAACCAGGGAAGCTTGCTGGGTRTCAGTCTGGGCGGCCTTTGAATTCTGAGCAATCTGGCACTCGGGCGTGGGAGGCAGATGTGCATGCTCTTGTCAACTGTGCGCAGACTAGGAAACGGGCAGGTCTGTCCTGGCCACATCCCGACCAATGATACCTCGGCACTGCTCTTCTCCCGTCTTTCCTCACCTCACCTCCGTCCTCACCTTGTGAAGCTTGGGCCCTTTTTGCCCCTCCACTTGGAAAACAGACCCACCGTACAGACACGTTTGCCAAGGCAGCAAACACCCCCTCCCCAGCTCCTGGAGGGCACCTCATTTATCCCCAAGGCCAGGGACTTCCTCAAGGGGCCTGAGAGTTGTGGGCGACTCAGCTCTGCCCGAGCACAGCGTCAGGTCTGAAGTGGGAATTGTGGCACAGCCACTCCCACCACCATGGCCTCAGGGAGCAACTCTGCCTATGGATTCCCATGCTTTTAGCCTAAAAGCCAGTTCACTGAAATACTGATTCCTGCAGCACGTCCAGACCCAAAGAAACTGGTCGTCACCTCAGCGGACTCATGGCTGCTTCCTCTTCTTCGCTGGTGAATCAAAGTAAGTAGTAAGGCCACCAGCAGGGCTGCAGCCACCAGGGAYGGGATGCCCGCCGCTAACCCAAGAGAAGGCCCACAGTCCTGGCACAGAGAGAGAAACACGGTCAGGGAAGCCCCGAATCTTCAAGATGGAAGGAAGAATTCAGCAGATCAAAAATAAAACCAAGGGCTGGGGCTGGGGCTCAGTGGTAGAGTGCTTGCCTAGCACGTGTGAGGCACTGGGTTTGATCCTCAACACCACATAAAAATCAGTGAATAAAAAAAGGCATCGTGTCCATCTATAACTAAAAAATATGTAAATGAATGAATGAATAAACAAACAAACAAACAAATAAAACAAAAAGCTGGTCATGGTGGCACATGCCTGTAATCAAGGAGGCTGAGGCAGGAGGATCACTAGTTCAAAGTCAGCCTCAGCTAAAGCGAGGCTCTARGCAACTAGTGAGACCCTGTCTCTAAATAAAACACAAAATAGGTCTGGAGATGTGGCTCACTGGTCAAGTGCCCCTGAGTTCAATCCCTGGTACCCCMAAAAATTAAATTTTAAAAAAAGGCTGCATGAAGCTTAAGTATCATATACAAAATCAAAAGAGTAATGAAACATTATTTTTTAAGAAGTTTGTACCCTGCATGACAAGGGACTTGCTTTCATAGGACTTGATTTACTTAGTTTAAATCAGTTGCAAGAAGAGTAATCTATGGGCTGGGGTTGTAGCTCAGTGGTAGAGGCTCACCTCTCATGTGGAAGGCACTGGGTTCAATCCTCAGCACCACATTTAAAAAATAAAATAAAATAAAGGCACTGTGTCCATCTACAACTAAAAAGTATTTTTTTTTTAAGAGGGGCAACCTAGAAGAGAATGGACAACGATCTAAACAAGAGTTCCTGGGAAAAGAAACACAAATGTCTCCATGTAGGAAAAGCTCATGTACCACATAGAGCAACACAGAGCAACAACTAGACACCACATTCACCTATGAGTCTGGCAAAAAGCAAAAGCTTTTATTATGTCCCACACCATTTTGGTGTGACTTTTCAAATGTATTTATCTTAAATGCATTAGCCAGTTTTCAAATGTCCATTTCATCTGAGTGGAAAGTCATGCTTGTAGCCACAAGACTTTTGGGATTTGCAGACTTGTTTCTGGAAATACTGAAGACAATCAACAGAATCCTTATTAATGTGCTGCTTTATGAAAGTCTGGGTTCGCCTTCACTTTCTGAGGGGTATGATTCTATTATAGAACAGTTAAGTATAAAATCATAAATACACAGGTTGATGACTTTTCAATGAAGAACATACTCATATAACCAACATTCACACCAAGAAACAATCCTGCCAGGGCCCCAGGAGCCCCCCATACTCCCTTCATCTCCCCACCTGTGAGCACTAAAATACTGAAATTTATCATCATAGATGATTTTGCCTGTTTTCAACATTGTATAGAAGCAAATGTAAGGTGTGTGGTCTTTCATGTCCAGCTTCTCTTGATCAACACTTTGTAAAATCCACCTGTGATTGTGTAGGTTCTCCCTCACTCTTTTTATTTTTATTTTTTATTTATCTATGACAGTGGAATGCATTACAATTCTTATTGCACAAATAGAGCTCTTCCTCACTCTTGAGCTTAGAGGGTCCTAAGAATAATAGTTGAGCCAGGGTCTGGGCTTGRTGACTGTTCACATGCCAAACATTAATCCTCAAAACAAATGCACGATATGGATAGAACATTCTTATCCCCATTTTATAAATGACCAAGCCAAGTCTGGATAATTTAAGAGTATACTTACTGCTTCTTTCCCACCTGTAACAACCGGAGAGGAAGTCTGTGTGAAACCAGAACATATTGTCAGAAAACAGTAATCCATAGACTACACCATGCAGAACAGTCTGGAGAAGCTAAAATGGTGACGCGCACTCCTTCTCAAAGTGGTCAACCACCACCACTACCAAACAGAACCTCYCTTGACTGCTTCCCAGGTAAGAACTGAAATGAAATTTGGCTACAAAGAGGAAGAATTCAGCAATTTAGGTGGCGTCTTTATTATTCACACTGTGGATCTGCCATGGCACATTTTCACCTCAAAAAAGTTTTCTCCTGTCCCTGGTCCCCACGGCCTTCCCAGGACTCTCATCACGCTTTGGCCTGTTTGTCCCCAGAGTTAGAGGGGAAGTGAGTATAAACATTCAACATTGGCGGGAGCGAGGCTCTTTAGGAAGGACTGACTTGTTCTTGAACTGTAATGACACAAATGGCTGAGCCTGCAAATGGCCCCTACTCCTGGGGACAAGTCCACATTGAATGAATATGTTACATGTTTCTGGTTCATTGCCACTTCACGGGGGAGYGTGCTGGATCTCATCCACTTCTGAGCTGCTTCAGGCAAGAGTCTTGCCTTGATCAATAAATCTCGGGGAACMAAGGTCTACCTGAGCAACTCAACCTGCGACTATGCTGTGTGTTTTCAGGTGGGATTAAGAGCACAGGTCTGGGATCCCCGTGGGCTGGTGGTTTCTCCACTCAAGCTCCATGGCCTCCTTTCTCCCTCTATAAAACAGGGACAGTGCTAGCTACCTCTAGGGTTGTTACAGGGATCACATGGGTACCAGAAGTTTGAGCAAGTCAAGGCTCAGAAGAAAGGGACCCCCACCCAGGAGGGGGCAGTCAGCCGGACACAGACTGGTGGGCACCAGAAGTTCAGCAGTAAGTTACCACGGTCCAACCATCTGCTACTCCGTAGAGCTACACCCCCATGTTACAGCCAAAATGAGCACCAGCTTAGGAGACCTCTTTGAATAACACCTAACTCATCAGAAAACCTTGGCACAGTCAAACCACTAAAAAACTGGGCCAGGAAGATGCCTCAATTGATCATGGCACAGACTGATCAGAAAACAAGCCTGGCTGTTAGTGTCACCCCTGCACTGCATGAGGACGGAAGCCAGGAGATCAACTGTAGGTTGAAACTGTTCACCTTCCACAACCAAAAAAAAACCCTCTATTTTGACTTACAACTAAGTGTCATGATCAAGAGCCTGAGCATGYTCATTACGGACCTAAACATTCTTCTTCCAGAATACATACTGAGGAAATCATCTTAAATGCAGACAAGCATATAATGATGCTAATCACCAAGTCACTCCCAATTTATGAAATACTTTACTTGAAGAAATAACACATGGCTACCCTCAATTATAGTTGTGAAGACTGACAGAAAACGTTGAAAGACATAATATTATATGGTGAGTAAGAACACACTAGTACAAAGACAACAAAAGTCAAAATGTGGGTGAAGTCTCTAAAGAGTGGGAAAGGGTTACAGCCACGGGTTCTGTGGATTAGAATTAAGGGTGGGAGGAGGTTTCTATTATAATTTCTGTATTGAAAACATTGCTCTCAGCACCCCTCCGCTATTCACCAGCGCCTCTGACTAACTCATCCTTGCACACAAGGTACGTGGGAGGAGTTTTGGAGTTCCCTGTGTCAATTCAGCCTTGACCTTCGCTGTGTTTGAAGACTGGTGAACAGGGGGRCTGTACTTACTGCGTTAGCCGGCAGTGTGAAGTTTAGTGAAAAACTCTGCAAGAGAGAAGGAAACATTAACCCTGGCAGGAACCATCAGCAAGCTCCTGAACTCCTCAAGCTCCCCACCGCTGGTGGACTCCCCAAGAATGTATGGATTCCATAGAGCAGCTCGGGAGCCCCAGAGGTAGGAGGGGAGCAGGGGAGCTGAGGTCAACAGGAACCCCTCCCTCAGATTGTCAGTCTCCCCACGCTTAATCCTCCAGGTTGTCAATCAGATTAGGGGACCAGCCAGGGAGGATCTGGCCCAGGATCCCTGATCCACGAGGGCAGTAGTAACATCACCCGAAGTTCAGAGAGGTGTTGCAATTTTTTTCCCCAAGAATTTCTTTCAGGGAAAGAACTATGGGAATTTAGAGCAGAAGATAAGCCCCCAAGAGGCATGTTCTAACACCTGATCCTAAACCACCATCTCTGGAGAGTTAACTGAGAAAAAGACCTGCTTTCATTTTGCCAAGTCAAGGGAGAGGTTCTGGGCTGTGGAGCCGAACTGGTCAGGACAGCAGAGGAGGAGCTCACCCCCCCACCCCCACTCAGCACCCAGTCTCACCCATCCCCATGTGTGGAATCAGTGTTTAAAGACTGCAAGCTCTAAACACTGCCCCRGTGCCCACTTATCTGGGTCAGGCTCTGCTCAAGCTACCCATGGCTCCTTTCTCCTCCCTGTCCCCATCCTGTCACTTAGTTTGGGCTCATTGGTGTGTCTTACCAAGTCCCTTCCTGTCTGACAATGGGTGGACCCTGCTCTGACTCAACAGATGACCCTTTCTGGCCCTGGTTGCCCTGGGCTGCAGAGGCTTTGTTTCACTTTCTGGAATTTCCGCCCCCTGAGTCTTGCCATCTGATTAATGACCCTGTGGCTGGGCCTCCTTCAGCCCCAGCCTCCCTGTCCACCAGGGGCTCAGCCTGTGCTCCAGTTCTTGATCTACTGTAGTCCCCCAAGAATAGGTTCTCTCATTCTAAGAACAACACGTTTGCTGAGTTTTAACATTACATGTTATCCAAAAATAGGAATATTGTGAAATATTAAAGAATCCCAAAGGATCCTAATATTTTGGACCCAAAGTGCCTCCAAGGACATTTTATACCTCATAACCCCATTTTACAGAAGAGACTTGAGACCCAGGGGCTCATTAGAAATTATCTTACAGAAAAATGAGAACAGTTAGAGCTTCACTCTGAAAACAGACTAGTGAGCTTGGTCCATGTGACCCTGATCTGAACTGAGAGATGCTTAGAGCAGATAGTCCCCCCAGCAAAACTCATTCTGGCTAATAGGTGGGTTGGAATTCAGATGAATTACTGAATGTGAATCAAAATCATCTTCCATGAATCAAAAGTGTTTTGAGCACCCACAACATATACTCCCCCTTGCTCAGCCTCCAACATTGTCCTTCAATTAAGATGGTCTCATCCAAGGCTGGGGTTGTGGCTCAGTGATGGAGCACTTGCCTAGCATGTGTAAGGCACTGGGCTCCATCCTCAGCACCACATATAAATAAATAAGTAATGGATAGATAGATAAATAAATAAATAGAGGTATTGTGTCCATCTACATCTAAAAAAAAAGAGTTAAACAAACAAATAAAAAAAAGCTCAAATGCTTCAGTGGCGACTCTGCCACTCCTCTGTCTCTTAGCAACAGGGGACCTTCACGCTACAGAGAAGGAAACCAAGGCTCGAGGATGTGATGGGTTGCCTGAGTCTACACAACTCATCAGCTGCGACCAGAACCAGGGTCTTCCACCACACAGCTTCCCGATAACTCCTGTGGTTTCTGCAGATGAACGGCAGGCACCCTAGACCTCTTCTTCTGGGACACCCTTAAAGCCAGGGATCACCTGGGCCTCAGGTCACAATTCTCTGGCTCTGGGGATCTAACCACTGTTCTTCATGCTGTCACCAAACGGGCTGGCTACAAGGCATTGAGCACAGCTGCCCCAGGCTGATCTCATCAGTGGGTGCTGGGCTCTGATGTCAGCAGGCCCAGGACAAAGCTTCCTTTGCAGGGAGGACAGAGGAGGCGAGAGAGCAACAAGCAGGCTTTTGCATGTGTTGTTTATCAACATGTGGATGACGATGACTTTGGCCGATTTCAGAAAGACATTCACATTTTGTAGAAACAGAACAGAGCTCTCATGGAGAGAAAAACATGCTGCAGTGCCCTTTAGAGCCGCAGCTGGGTGGGATGAGGCAACTCTGGACTCAGAGCCATCTGATGGGGTTCAAATCCTGTCCTGCCACTTAATGGCTATATGATCTTGGATACGTCACTCAAACTCTTGGGTCTCCAGTCCCTCGCAGCAAATTCATTCTCCCGGTTTTTCCATCCTCAAAATGGGATACTGTTAACTTGCCCTGCCCACTTCACAGTGTAAACATAAGGGATATAATGTCTGTGGCAGCTCCTTCCATGGACTTCCCTCTAGTACATGAGGGATCATGTGGTACCATCTTCCTTTAGGCCTGGCCGGCAGAGTTAGGGTGGGGAGCCCTTCGGGAAATTCTTATTAGATGGAACTGTAAGTATAAGTAGCAAAACTCAAAGTGCCAGCCCTTCTTGCCTCGTGCTGAGCAGTGTATCCCAGCTACAGGGGGATTCCAAAGGAGGATGCTGTCCTTCACTAGGAGTTTGCTGCTTGTGAGGGGGAGAGGCAGATGAGGCAATCTCTCACGGTCGTTGAAGGTATGCTGGTGTTGGACACTGCTCTCAAAACCTCCCCACGAGGGGAGTACTGTTATCCCTACATCACAGGTGAGGACATCGAGGCAAGATGGGTTTCTGGAGGTCGCCGGCTTGTAGGCATAGATCAGGTTAGACCACAGGTCTTCCTAACTCTAAAGTCTAAATTTAACTCCTCTGAATAATCCCCCATCCTTGTTTTTAGATTCTACATAAGTGAGATCATGTGGTATTTTTCTTTTTGTGTCTGGCTTATTTCCTTTAGCGAAACGTTCAGGGCCAATTTGGTTGTGGCCAATAGCAGGATCTCCTCCTTTTTAGATGGATGGAGAGTCCTGTGTAAGGAGGTAGCAGCTTGAGCTAAAGCTGACCCAAAGATCTCCTCCTTCTTAAAGGCTGAATAATATTCCATTCTAGACACACACACTCTCTCTCTCTCTCTCTCTCTCACACACACACACACACACACACACACACATGCACACACACCAGTTTCTTCAGCCATTCATCTGTTGACAGACACCCAGGTTGTTTCCATAATTCTTCAATAAAGAAATCAAAGGCCTCTTCTGTTTTCTCTCCCAACTTAGCAAACTTCACTTGATTCAACCAAATTCCTATCATAAATCAATAAGAAAGGTGGGAAGCTTCAGATGGAACTTATGAACACACATGTTGCTGATCACATAGCAGAGGGAGGACAGAACACACAAGAAAGGTAAAATCATTGATGAGACCCCTGGCTTCCCCAGGAAGGAAACAGAGCTGAGACATCCATTCCCCATCCTTGTAAGAAATAAATAAAAATAAATAAATAAAAATAAAAATATCAAACTTAAAGACGAGATCAGCTATTTTTAGATAAGAATGTTGGAGAATAATTAGTATTTTATAGATAGGAAAATAATTAAAACCCAAGCCCTTCATTGTGTTGAGGGTGCAGCTATATTTGATTGAATTAGGAGACCAGTGCCTTAAGGCCTGGGAATTAGTTTTTACGGAGAGAAAGGAAGGTTAGGCTAAGAGGCCAGCACCCACTCACCATTGCCGACAGCCTCCCAGGACCTTCTCCAAACACTGGCCTTACTGGCTTGGGTCTCCCATCTGTAGGAACTAGTGCTGGGGAGGCGGGGCGAGGTGGCTCCAAGAGAGCCGGGGCCACGCCATTTATGGGCAGGGGAGTAGCCAAGCCCTGGGCCCGTCCCTTGGGAAAGATGGGCTCCTGCTCCCTGGCCACTATCAAAGGCCGGGGCCCTCCATCCTCTTTGCCTTTATTTTCTGTTCTTCTTACTATCTGGGCAGCTTCTTCAATCTCAGCAAAGACACCACAGCTGGCCTGAGAGCTTGGCGGCTCCTGCAGCTGCCAGCTCTTTAGAAACAATGGGTCACACGGGCTGAGGCTGGCCACTATGTCCCCAGCTGACAGGCATCTGCACAGACCATGTTCCTGGCCATGAGGGAGTCCCCTGCTACCAGCCTGAGCTGAGGACGCCTGCAGGGTGGGTGCTGGAGCCACTCTGAGGCAGGCCTGTGGCTGCCAGTGAAGGACACGGTCATCAGTGAGTTTGGCTTCTTGGCCTCCTGTCCTCACATTTCCCAGTGGGACCCTCCTCTAGCTCAGGAAGCTGTGGATACGGGTAGCTTTCAGGAGCCCTGAATTTGCTCCCTTAAGATGGTGAGTGAGTTGCCAACAAAACCACAGAATTGCAACCAATGGTCAACCAAGGGGTCACTTAAATGGAACCATCCTGTGAGGAGCAAAGAGGGGCGTAAGGAGACAGCAAGTGAAGTGACCCGCCGTCATAGCTTTAGACAACTCTGGAGATGACCTTCAAGTTGCACATGGAAAATGAGAAGAGGCCTACACGTGGAGGCCTGAGGGGAGCCCCAGGCACGGGGCACAGCAAAGGCAAAGCTCCCCGGTCTCCGTGTGTCGTGGAAGGGGAAGGAGGCCAGCGCAGCCGGACCAACAGAAACCTCGGAGCAACCTGGAAAGAGGGTAAGGGCAAATGAGTGAGCCTGAGGYCCGATGACCAGACATGGGGGGGCGGCGGGGAGGGGGAGGATTTTTATTCTGAGGGCAGCAGGCAGCTATTCGAGGGTTTCACGTGGGAGCATGATCCAGTGATACCAACAAAGCTCACCCTGGCTTCTCCTTGGAGCATGGATCACAGGGACAAGGGTGGAAGCAGGAGACTGGCTGGAATGGGCTTGTGAGCTGTTTTGGAGTTTAAGGCAGCGAGAGCTGATGATGGGGAAATCTGAGGCAAGTGGGGAGAGAAGGTGAGGGAAAGGGCTGAACTCCCAGGCTTGGGGCTTGACTGATGGGGCTTGAGGCACAGGCTTAGGGACGTGCTACTGGGAAAGCAGATTTGGATGGGGGAACCCAAGCTCCACGTCGGGTGCTGTAACCTTCAGTCGCTCTGAGGCAGCCAGGTGGAGGTGCTGACTGGCCATGAGACAAAGGGGGTCTGGGACTGAAGATGTCCGTTTGGTGGCGGCCTGTGGATGGGTTTAAAGCTGCAAGTGGGCAGAGCAGAGGACCAGAATAGAGACCCAGGGCGGTGGACATTTAGAGGCCTGGTGGAGGAGGCCCAGCCAGCAAGAAAGGCTTCATGAGAGGAAAATCCGAGGTCTGGGGTCACAGAAAACGCCTGTTTCAAGAAGAGGGGGTGGCAGCTGACTGTGCCAGTCACTGCCTAGGGAAGGTTGGAGCAGCCATCTGCTTCTCAGTTGGTGGCTGCTAGTGACTCTGAGGAGGACAATTAGTGGCACGATGGAGGGGACCAGGTTATCTTGGAACCAGGTGGGTTTTCTATCCTGGTTACACACCTGAATCACCCAGGAGGCTTATAAAAAACCCTGGTGCCTGGGTCCGACTTCAGAGACAAATTGAAATGCCCAGAATGGAATAGGGACATCCTCAGGTGACACAATGAACAGTCAGGGACTCAGTCACCTCTGAGGGGCCAGGCATGGGACACAGTACTGAGCAAGAGCAATGTGGTCTCTGCCGCAGGGTGCTTCCAGTTCCCAAGACCAAAGTGACTAAGCGGAATCTGATGGTACCCGGAAGACAGAGAATACAGTAGGTCCTTCCTGCATTTAAGGCCATGGAGACCCTACTGGCTGGTGGCTGCTTGGTCATAGGCAGTTGGTAGCCTCAGTCTCTTAATCTGTAAAGTGGGGATGTTACAGTTTCCAATGACTAAACCATTCGAATCAGTGCAGCTGGTGCCAATTATTTTCTTCTATCACATGAAGATTCAAACCTGTGCTGAAGAACTGAAGTTTCAGGCCCAATATCCTCTGGCCAGGCTGGGGATGTGCAAGGCTAAGGGGCAAGTGTGAGAGCTGTCTGCTTTGCTTTGCTTGTGTTTTTCTGAGTCCAGCAGGGAATTGTGTTCTGGGCTATGCGCTTGAGACTCACCAGGGGGTAGAAGGCTCTAGAGAAAGCCCCCTGCCACACCCTGCCCAAGGAGCACTGGTGGTTGTGGAGAAAATGATCATGAAGAGAACCCATCCTGTCTGAACTAGTAACACACACCCGGGACACACCAATAAATCCACATCGTTTAATGAGGCATCCTTTCTAAACAGATGTATGTTAGCTCCCCCCMCACACACACATTCTCTTTGACATCATTTCCTGAAATGTAAAGTTACTCAAAATAAAAAATACCCATACATTTATAGATAACGCTTTAATTTTTTTTTTTTTAAAGAAACCTTTTAGGCATCTGGGATTATTTTTCAGAAGTTCGGTCTATAAAGAAAAACCTTGAAAACATCTGCCGAAGCCGAAGGAACATTTGTTCCCAAACTGAGTACTAACAATACCAGGAATTGTCAAACGGATCAGGTGGATGGTCAATTCCTATGTGAATCTGCCAGTTAGCCCATATTTAACAAATAATTTAAACAGGCTGAGCCATTTGTGGATTCTACGACACTTTTGAGGGAAGTAGTAAAATAGAAATGGAAACTTTGGAGGAAAATAGAGAAAATAGTGAATCAGTACACAGCCTTGCCTCCTCTGTTTGAAGAAATTCTACTGCCTGATGTTAAACTGAGACCCTTCTCCTGCTCTAGGCTGCAGGCCCTGGCTTCTGTGAGCTCTGATTACACTAAAATGAGACCAGGCTGGAGACCCAGACCCCAAACTCCATCAGGTCCTTTGTTTGAAGTTAATTCTCTAGTCTTGAAGCTCTGTGACACCCAAGGCATGGCACCCAGTTAAAGGGCAAAGCAAGATGAAGGGTCATCCTCTGGCTCCTTCCTCCACTTCCAGAGACATCTGCAGGCAGGTTGCTGAGCAACTGGAAGAGCCCGTGCAGGGGCCTGGGTCTTTCTGCTCTTTGCAGGACTGTGTCCTGCGTAGATCCCCAAGGGTGCAGGCTTCCAGAGGAGGGGCCTGTCCAGCCCCAGCTGAATCAGAGCTTGTCTTCTGGGTCTACGTCACTCACAGGCCTAAAAAAAGGTTTTCATAAGGGCCCCATTGTTGTGAATTGGCCACACGGTGACAGTGGTTGGAGTCGTGTACTTTTGGAAACATTCACACTAAAGCAATGAATCATCAGTGTGTCACCAGGGTGCCCAATGCTGAAACCAGCTCTGTTTCTCCCTCCCTCCCACTTCTCCATGGAATCTCGTCATCTTACTGAAAACTTCTCAAGGTTAAAAATGCAGAATTCTCATCTCCTTGGAGAGAGACCCTTAGCGTCCTCCTTATGCATTCTGATTTCAGTTTCAATGTTGACAGACAAAATGGGACAAAATCAACCTCAGACGATCCACAGATCTGAGCAGCAGAACCCACCAGAACAGGCAGGAGGGGTCTGAACCGTGAGAAGAGGGACTCCATTGGTCACCTCAACGTTCATCCTGGGCAGGGTCTGCCATCTACCAAGATGTGAGAATGGAGGCTGAAACTCAGTCCAGGGCCAAGGAAAGCCAGGGGAGAGCTTGGTGACAGCACCGGGGGCCTGTACAACAAAGCTCCACTAGTGGGTGGGCATTCTTCACACTGCATTGATTAAGGCTTTGACAGCTGATCCTTTACATACTTACATATATACAGACATATATTATTATTAATAATATTAATTTGATTTCTTTCTGTTTTAAGGGGAAAAAAAAAAGTATTCCCCTGCATTTCTTTTACTCTTCTTTGTATTATTCGAGTTTTTACTCCCAGCCATCATTTAATGGAACATCATCTTCTGGCGGCATATCCTGATCTTTTAAAAATAGAACCTCTAGCGTTTTACAAATACTGTGTTCAAAACGATGATTGATCCCAATGAATTCCAGGGCTGGGGAGCGTCTTGGCTCTCTGAGTGGAAGTACTCTCAGGGGCTGCCCTGTTTTCAACACCAGCCAAACAGGACTTACTGTCAATGTAAACATTATTTTAAAATTATTCCAACATAAATACTCTTTTAAAGCTAACATACCACAGCTTTTAGCTCATAATGCCCATAGATGCCTTAATGAAATGCCATTCAAAACTACATCACTGTTTAAATTATACCTTGAGGTGCTAAAATTATGTAAACATCATCCCCCACACGTCCCTAGAACAAGTGCCGCGTGTTGTGAATCCTGATTGCAAGTTGACCGGATGCTAGTTAATCTGAGAAAAGTCATCAGCATACTCTTGAACCTGTCTGATTACAGGAGATTGGTCACAAGTGGACTTGTACCAGCAGGTGATGATTCTTACATAACAGAATGAACCAGTTTTCCACAGTGTTCACCCGAGAGGGACCTGAACGGGCCCCTCCTGAGATGTCTTTGCACGTCTTGCAGGTGCAGTTTGAACCCGCTGTCAGGGAGTCAAGGTTCACAGCAGCGCATGTTTCCATAGCTGGAGGGTCTTCCAGGCCCAAGGACCTCCCCCCAAGCACAGATGGGGATCCTCAAGTCAGTGATCGAGGGACTATCAGAATGAGCCAGGATGTTTTATTCTTGGCAAACTAAGAATTCTCCCCSGCAAATGTTCTGCTGGAGTTTAGTGGATGCTATGGCCCCTTAGTGCAATGAGGGATGGAGAAGCCTAGAGCGGGCAGGGAGGGCCATGCCTGAGGTCTTCCACCTTAGCGATGATAATGCTGGTGCTCAGAGCTCTTGTGTGTGCTGCTTGTTGTGATGACTCTTTTCCCTGGATGTCTACCTTTTCAGGTTTCCTGGTCGACACATCTCTGTTGGAGAGAAGGAGAAAGTTTCCAGCCAAAGCTGTAACAAGTCAGCCAAGCTTTTATTCTCACTGCTCAGCGTAACCTGCGTCTCCAGGATTTGGTCACATTTCCTGGCACCTATGGAAGCAGGAGGAAGAGGACTGACCAACCCTATGGCTGGCCTCTTGCCCCCCAGGAGCAAGGGAAGGAGAGCGAGCAGGAAGAAGCACAGCTTGAGTGGACTTCAGGCCTTAAACTCCAGAGGCCCACCACTGACAACACTGTCACTGGAACCAGAGGGACATCTCTCCTCCTTGGCCAAACATGCATGTGGGGCTTCGTCCAAATATAGACCTTCAAGACTGGATTTTGAGTTTTTGCTTGAAAAAAATACTGTACACTGTTTTAGGGCTGATTTGCCAGGTGCTGCTGTTGTAAGAACATTCTCAGTTCCTATCTTTCGAGGACGTGGGCATTATTTCTTCATGTGCAGGGCATCCTGGAACTTGGTGCTGGTATATCGAGCATGAAAGCCTTTCTTGTTGATGGTGTCATCCGTGTGGAAGCGAATCATCAAGGAATCCCCTGCAGAGTAGATCTCTTCCAGTGGCTAAGAAAAGGAGAAAGGGAAACCAGGAGACCTGAGGTCAGTTGGCTGTGACTAGAGTTTAAACAAGGATGGGACAGGACCATACCCAAGGACACAGGATGGCCAATGCAGCCACGAGGTGTCCCTGGCACTGCAGACAGAGGGCATCCAAATGAGATCCTTTCCAAAGGAAAGCACTGCAAACTCTCCAGAAAGTTCCCTGAGCCCTGCTTTTCCAACCATGCTCCTAGACCCACAGATCACAGAGAACCTGTGGTTTATGAGGTGCACGGGTGGGCCAGGCACTGTGCCCAGCACTTCCAGGTCTGACCTCATGGACACTTGCAAGAACTTTATGAGGCAGATACTCCCTCCATTCACACTGAGGAAACCAAGACTCAAGTGCACACAGGAGGGTAGGATCTGAGCTCAGCTCTTTCTGACTGTGAATTACGTGCCATGCATCACCCAGCTCTGTCAATTCACCACTGTGTTTCCCAGGGGACCAAAATCTTCAGGTTATGTCCTGTCCAAGGACAAAAAGTGCACTGGAGCTGACTACACCTGTCAGAAAGGTTCTGGCAAGTTCCAAGACTGCCACCTGCCAGGTCCTAGTAGAGCCAAATGGGTCTTCCCACAGAGCGCTGTGCTTGAGACCCACCAAGGCTCCTCTCCACAGTCGAAAGGACCATATCCCAGGCAGTGCATCTGGGAAGTCACATTCTGTCATTCCTTCTTTTTTGGAGGGTGAAGGTAGATGGAGGGAAATTATTGAAAGACATAAATACCATGTCAGTTTTCTATCTACAAGGAGCTCCCGTGATTCCAAAGGCTTTGACATAAGTCCAGCCAATAGCAAAGAAGATTGAGTGATGAACCCTGGAGGCAGAGAAAAGGGCTGAAGCCCAGTGTGCGCAGTGTGCGGTGTGGCAGGGCCAGGGAGCCACCAGGGCATTGTACTGGTTGGCTCACTACATCACTGAGCACAGTATACAGCCAGGCCCTGAGCCCCGTGCTGGGAAAAGAATAAACAAAACAGGCCTGTCCTGGTCCTGGGTTGGTGGTCCAGGAAAGAGACAAACATGAGAAAAGTGACAATGACTTTGAGTGTAAGTATTATTTACAGTAACTGCTTATTTCATAAGCATTTGGCTTTGCATGGGGAGAGAATTATGAGTATAGGGAATACACAAAATCATAATAAAATAGTAAGAAAATCCTGAAAAAAAAAAATGGAAGAGAGGATCCTTTGTAAAAACAGGGCCTAAAAGCCCAGTACTCTTCCTTGGACTGACCTCAGTCCAAAGCCTTCATGAACTGGTTCCCGACTCCCTCCCAACCCCCTCTCCCGGGAGCCTCCTGTTTCCCCCTCCCCTGCAGGAAACATGGGCCTCCTGACTGTTGCTATAAGCGTTAGGGACAGTTAGGTCTCAAACTCATGCTCTGAATCCCGGGTTTTCGCCCATGGCACTGACACCCGGGACTCACCCCTGAGCCACAGAAGCGGCCGAGCCTGGGTGCTGAGCTGTCGTAGCCGTCGTAGGCCTCCATGTAGTCATAGCCACAGTCGGCCTCCTCCTCCACCTCAAAGGTCCGGAATATCAGCTCCACGCCGTAGCCGTCCTCTGCCACGATCACCCAGTCACAGTGGGCCTGGCTTGGGTAGTTGTTGTCCCCAAACTGGGCATGGGAATACAGCTCTTTGGTCTGCACTTCGGCCTTCAGCCTGCCCCCACACTCTGCAGCAGAGAGAATGAGATCTCCCCTCGGCACCCAGAACCCCCGTGCCTGGTGCGTGCCCTGCAGGGGAGGCCAGGCAAGGCCGTTATGCCATGTCACAGGGGAGTCAACAGAGGCCCGGGACTCCAAGGCCAGGGATCCCTGAGGGGCCAAACTGGCCCTTACCAAACAAGGTGCCATGTTCCCATGCTGGGCCACATCAGGCCTCTGGGAATCCCAGAGCATGGCTGAAAAGCTGGCTGTTGTTTTTCCCCCCACACTTAAGAAGACGGGGGCAGATGAACGGTGTGCCCCACTGGTTGCTGGGATGTGGGATCTGGTTTCAAGTCCTGGAAGTGCCAGCAGCTCAAGATGGGCTCAGCAGCCCCCTAGACTTATTGTCACTTTTCATTTCTGCCAACAGAGGGCGATAAAGGCACATCAGAACTGCAGCTGAGTGCCCAAACCCAGAACCTCAATCTACTGGACTCGCTCTTGCATTTGGGAGGTTTGACGCGGGTGTCACAGCCACACCTCAGCTTTGGGCTTGGATTCCGTAGCCTTGGCTTCTGTGTTTTACCAGGACAGAAGCCCAGGATGCCCTGGGCTTGTACCATCTTGTGTCTAGGCTACTAAAATAAAATGGGTAAATGAGACCAGATGGGGCTAGATCAGAAGCACCTGGAGGCAAATTCCTCCACCCTGTACCTCAAACTGCTGCACCTCCCAGGTGCCGCAGCTCCCCTGGTGTGGATTCCGGCCATCCTGTTCTGAATGCCCAGGCCCAGCTGGAGTTGCACCCCAACCTGGGCCCCACTCTGACTACCAGCTCTTACTGCCATGCTCTGCCTACAATTTCTTCAGAGTCTGGGAAATTTCAAATTCCTAAGATGCAGACAGCAATGACGTGAGCACAGAGCAAGGCAGGAGGCCTCCTTCCCGCCTGCTCCAGGGCCCTAGGTGCTGACCTCTAGTCTACCTGCTCAGGCCCCTTTACTGCTCTTTCACTTCCAGCTCTGTCCAGCCACGGGGAGCACGGGAGGGAAAGTCGGAGGGAGCAGGAGAGAAGTCAGGTACTGCATCCCAGCTCCTCTCTGCCTGTTCCTCCTGTAAGTCACTGCTGGGGCTGGAGGGCCTCTGTGCCTGAAGTGATAGAAGTTTTGTGGGTCTCTAGTCCTAGTGACTGTCCTGTCCCTTGCAGTGTCCCCACACCTTGCCCATGCTTTGTAAACAGTCTTTTTATTAAGTTCTCCACAAATAACAACTCTGAGTGTGTCCCCATTTCCTGCTGGGTTCCTAACCCTCCTTGAACACCCACATTCCAATTTCCATCTACAGGGACAAGAGGGTTATGTCACTAGTCAGTGGCCTTTCAACTTCAGTGGGGGAAGCCAGAAATCCTCAAGGTGCTGAAGAGAGTCTCACAAACCATCCAGTGTTTGGGGCTAGGCAGGGGCAATCGAGGCTGCCTGGGGATGCTGGCTGCCATTTTACTGACCAGATTCCGGTTTTCTACCTCTGAAAAAAGGGGTCACAGGGTCCCATGATCACGACCTCAGACTCAGCATCACACTCAGGTGGCCGAGCAGTTCTCAGGTAGCCCTGGGCTCTGCCACGATCTAAGCCAGGATCAAAGAGCCAACACTGCCCCCAGAGTGCTGGTCCCAGGTGACAGCTAACAGAGCAATGGGTGAAAAGCAGAGCTAGTTTACTTACTGACCTTTTTCTACCTAGCAAAGTAAACAAGTCACTAGCATATACATTTCCCCAGGACCCAATATAACTATTGATATCTTGAGGAAAAAATAATGGGGAGCAGAAACATGTTTCATTTTCCTGAATCAGTCCTCGGAGATAAAGTCCCAGACTTGGGTTCCGCAGACCAGAAAAAAAAATCACAAATACATTGTTCAAAGGGAGGGAGGAAGGAAGGAAGGAAGGAAGGAAGGAAAGAAACGCTTTCCCTGTCAAATTTTATCAGTTAATTAACATCAATAGAAAACCACCCTCTGCCTGTGGTGGCCAATGTTTCCTTTTCACAGGGACATTTTATCACAGCCGCCCTCCCCTCCCCTTCCCCCAAAGAGACACAAGGCAGTCCTTCCCTGCCTTTGACCCCACTCTCCTCCTGCCAAAGTGCTCATCGCCTGAGGCCCCAGGTACCTGTGCTGTAGGCTGCCTGGAAGCCTTTCCTCTGCACGGAGGCATCCGAATAAAACCTGAGAAACAGGCTGCTTCCGGAAGCCACCACGGGGTCTGGTTTTTTGCTGCCGCAGAAGCGGCCAAGGATGGGGGCCAGGGTGTCGGGCCCATCGTACATCTCCAGGTGGTCATAGGCACATTCCTGGTGCTGCTCGATCTCAAACTCATTGAATGTCTGGGGAAGAAGGAAGAAAAAGTAAGGAAAGGGACCGGTGTTCAGCCGAGGCCAGAGAAAAAGGGGAGAGGTAGTGCCCAGAGGCACCTGTCCAGCCACTGTGCAGAGGGCGGGGTCTCCCCTAGGCCTCCATTTTGGTCCCCAAAGCAACCCATGAGTTACCTACACTCTGGCTACTGACCACCCAGAGCTGACTTCTTCCACCCCTCGCTTCATCCTAAGAGCTGGCACCAACTGTGCTCCTGAAGCCAGCAGCTGAGTTCAGAGCTTCACAATATCACCTTATTGAAAGTCCCTTTCTGCCTCATAGTCCCAGATGTGGAATATACATAAAAACTTAAATATATAACATACAACAAATTATATACCAGGATTATATAAAAACAAGAATATGATTATGTTATAATACTAATTACTATAACAAGTAAGCTCCAAATTATAATTTCCGACTTATTTAAAAGCACCTTTGTCAATTTCACTGAAACATTCTCAGAATTGAAAACTCAGAACCTAATGGGTCCTTATAATCCTGTCACGTGTCCAATCCCTACTCTTACAGATGAGGAAACTGAGGCAAGGAGATGTCAGTTGACTTGCCCAAGGTCATCCACTGGCAGAGCTTGGCCATGACCCAGAAGCTGTGGCTTTGAAGACCCTTATCCTCAAACTCTGCTCTACAGATGAAACAGGAGGGCAGGCTGCTCCATGCCAGATCAGAGTGACCATATTTTATTGGGCATTTTTTCCATGCCAAGTATTTATGAACATTTTCCCACTTAATTCTGGTGATGCTATAAGAAAAACAGTATGCAGAAGGGGAACCAAGTCAGAGAGAAGCTACCTGGCTTGCCCAATAATGCAACTAGAGACAGAGCTAAACTTGACCCCCAGCCAGCCATCTCTAACCCCAACTCTTAATGATCACATGGTTGTATCACCTCCCTCCTACCTGCACCCCCTAAAAACTATTCCCTGAAGGTGTTCAGGGGACCCCTGAACTTCAGTAATACACAGGCTTTGCAGCCCCAGTGCAGGCTGCTTGGATGCTGAAGAGAGGACCAACTGACGGGCTGCCTATGGTGTCAGGGACACAGGACAAGGTGAGCAAGGACAGTGTTGGATGAAGTCTTGGACTGAAGGGCAAAGCAGGAGCGAGGCCATTAGTTGGGGGAATCTAAATTTAAAACAGGGAGGCTGGGGTAATGGGACAGAGGTGAAGGTAGGGAGGGGAAAACAGAAAGATCCCTCTAACACTTCACCAGGACGGCAAGTACCACGAATGGGAAAAGCTCTCACACCTCAGGAAAAAGGGAGCCTTGACGAGGGAGGATGGGTAGAGACACCAGGCAGGAGAGGGAGAGCAGGGCACCTGGGTGGGCCATGCAGTGGGAAGGAGAAGGCAGGCCAAGGAGGTGGGGAGCTTCCCAAAGCCATGTCTGCCTTGTCACTGTGAAACACCAGCTTCCTTGGGAAGCATGCAATTCACATTCTATTAGTAGCGAAAGATAGAATTCCAAGGGAATGTCTTTTTTAAAGGAACAGGTGTGTGCAGGCACCTTGGATAAAAGCTTCCAGTTGTGCAGGTTTGAAATCCCATCCCTAGGGGGCGCCAGTCCCTCGGGTTGTCAGGGATGTACGTTGCCCCTGGGAACATTTTCCAGCAGACAGCAGGACAGTCTTTCTGCATTCACTCTAACTCACCCTAACCCAGATTCCAGGCCATTCTGACTAACCCAGGGCAGCAGCTCCTGGGAGCGCAGCTGAGTAGCATCCCCTGTGCGGGCAGAGCATGCACAGGAGGTGCCTGCCCAGGGCGCCCTGCAGTCAGGGGTCCTTTCTGCACCCTCCATATCCCGGCAGCCCATTCTCCTGCCTCTGCTCCTCTTTCGTGGCTCTCATCAGTCAACACCCTCCCAAATCCCTGTGCCACAGTCTTCGGACCACCACGTTCTCTTTTGTTCTCTTCCATTCTCCCTGAATTACTGCTCCGGCAGTCTCGGGGCCAATCTTCCTCATCTCTGCAGAGGACTCGTTTTAAAAATGTCTGTCTGTCAGGAGTACAACAAATTCTCTAATACTCCAGGATATGAGAGCCTCTGGGGGCTGAGGAATGAGAATTGGAAGAGAGACTCATTTCTCCTTTGAAACAACTGAGCGTGACTACACATCAGATACTTTTAATAAACGATGCAAGGTTGTTGTTTTTAATTCAAGAAAGAATTCACATAATGCTGCTATAGAAAATTGAAGAAAGTGTAAGTTATAGAAGAAAATGAATAATAATATTCCCTTTGAGAAGACTAAGAAAAAAGACCTTTATTTTCCCATGCATATGTATGCACTGTACGTGCATAGGAAATTTCTGGAGAAATTTGCAAGTAAGGGTTGAGAATGGTCATTTCTAGAGTGCAATGGGATCTGGGGACTTTTGATTTCCCCTCCCCAACCTTCCATACTTATTAATTTTCCTTCTTTCTTTCTTTACCTTGAGAATGAAACATTGTGTAAAAAGTCAAAACTGGAAACTCTCGAATCTCCAACAGCACTGCAGATCTGTGTGTTGGGCACCACCTCACCCAGGTGCCCCTGTAAACTGGTACATTTATGGAGCTGTTCTTCSTTTTCTCTTTTCATCTGCACAACAGCCCCCAGGAAGTGGGTTTCATTAGCATCCCCATTTTCCAGAGAGTAAAACCAAGATCCAGAAATGAATGACTCGCCCAAGTTTCTGATCTGGGAAGTGGCTGAGTGGAGACTCAAACTACAAAAATGACTCACGAGTTTCACCCTGTGGCCTGCGGTTGAAGAGATGTTCCAGGTACACTCCCTCCGGCTGGGGTATTTATCAGGCCAGTTGGGGCTTGCCAGGGTCCCCTCTGCACTGCTGATCTTGTGCGCACAGCCAGCTGGGCGTGACGGACACATGGAGAGAGAATCAATCACTGCGGGTAGCACCAAAGGCATTCATTCTAGGGGAGCCTCCCCCTTCTCCCTTGTCTCAGGGTCATCAACATATGGGTGGACAACCTGGATCAGGTGTCCCCTGGTGCAGAGACTTGCCTATCTGTTTGAACTAGCTGTGCTGCCTTCCTGGCTGTGGCTCAGCAGCCAGGTCACCTCCTCACTTTTACTGTTCACATCAAGGTCATCATTGCAATCTGGTAGAGCTAAGAGCACAGACCCCGGGCTCATTTGGAGCTTGGTTCGAGTCCTGGTTCTACCACGGATGGTCCTCAGGGCTGTGTCTTAATTTGTAGAAGTGGTGCCACCCTTGCACATGTGGATTAAATGAGATCATGTGTGTGAGAGGCCCGAGCCGAGCGCTTCATCCCTCAGTCTACACGCTTCCTTCTGCTTTTCAAAGTGTTTTCACCTGGAGTCGGCCTGCTTCGTCCTGGTTACAGTGCATTAGCAAACGGTGGTCCCACGACTTGCTCGATGCCTAGCACTTTGGCCAGTAGCTAGATTTTGTCTCCCTCTGTGCTGAGCATTGTGGTGAGTGTTTTGTATGCATCCTCTCACTCAATCCTTCCCAGGTCCAAAGAAGAAACTAGAAGGGGCCTGTGGTCTTCCTATCCTCCCCACCCACGACTTCTCCTGCAGGGCTTCGTGGCTGGGCCGAGGCATGAAATCTGTGTTGATCACAGAGGGGCAAACTCCCTTCCCTTGACAGGGTAGGAACAGAGGGAAAGTTTGTTTCCAGAATGACTGGACATTGATAGCCTTCTGGCCCTGAAGAACTCCCAGCAGTGAATGGGGCTGGAGCAAACTATATTTCACTATGAGGTCTGTATTACTGTAATACGTAAATAATACTATGACAGGCATAAATGGCCGATATTTATTAACATCTAAGGGTATAATATGTTTCAGACTGCCTGAAATACTTTTTAAACATTTTTACAAAAACTTTAGGAAGGAGATATTTAGCACCTTTTTAACAAAAGAGGAAACTGTGACTCAGGGAGGTTAAGTAATTAGCTAAAGGTCATACAGCTAGTGAATGGCCGAGAGAGGATTTAGATCCAGGTAGTCTGATTCGGCTGCCCACAGGTATACCCACCCTGCTATTGTAACTCAGCTTAAATCCCCTGAGGCTGCCCCGTGCCTGCTAAGACCTGGCAGGAGGGCCGCAAGTGTTCGCTGGGAGGAGGGCAAAGGAACAGCCTAGCCACACTGCGGAAACCTGGCAGAGGGTAGGAGGRTGCCCACGCCTGTTCCCGCCCACGCCCCGCCCTCCCGCAAGCACGTGCGCACTCCGAAGGCAGGGCAGGTGGCCGAGGCAGCGCCACCCCCCGCAGGCTCCTGCTCACCCTCTTTACAGTCGTGTCCATTCTCATGCAGCCGGTAGCCGTTCCTGCACCTGCACAAGTAGCTTCCAAACGTGTTGACGCACTCATGCTGGCAGCCACCATTGTCCTTGGCGCACTCGTCCTTGTCTGGGGAGGTCAAGGGACTCTCCTAAGAGGAGCAGCCAACTTGGGAACTCCCCTGTGGTTCAGAACCTGCCCAAAGTGGCCTCCTCCAGGGGCCTCCCTGATTGACCACCCCTGCTTTTCTCCTGATGTGGAGTCTCAGATTTGGGTGTCACTTGGCTTTTGTTTGGGAGGGTTGCAGCCACCACCCAACAAATGCCCAGACTTGCAGGGAGCCACCGCAGCTAGAAGAGGCCAAGGAGGATTGTCTCCAGAGCCGACTCCTTGATCTCAGATTGCTGGCTGCAGAACTCTAAGAGGATACGGTTCTGTGGTTCTAAGCCACCCAGGTGTGGTAGTTGGTTATGGCAGCCGTAAGAAGCATAGCCACTGATACCAAACCAAACCAGACAGAACCTCTAGGTGCAGGCTCGTTACTGCCAAGGCAGAGGGCCCAAGAGAGAAGAGAGGGAGTAGGAGACAGGAGGTGCCCAGGACCCCCGGGAGGCTGAGGGCCTGTAAAGCCACCTCACGCCCAGTCCCTGGCCTCACCTCCAAACCCACACACCTGAGAAGAAGTGGGCCCTGAAGCCGCGTTTGGAGACGGTGTTGTCAGACTTGAACTCCACACGCATGTTGTTGCTCTGCGAGGTGATGACCTCGGGAGTCTCTGAGCCACAGAACTTGCCATGCAGCCTGGCGTCAGGGGACAGGCCACTGCGTACCTCCACAAAGTCGTACTTGCAGACCTACAGGGAGCAAGGTGCAGAGCAGCCTGTTACACCCGTGTCCCCACCCCAGGCCTCTTTCTGAGAGCTGCACTTTGTCATGGAGCCTGATGGGCTCAGCCCACCCCAGGGGAGGTTCCCCTTGACTCTCTGTGTCAGCACTAGAGGGAGTCCCAGAGGGCAATGATGGGGACTTGGCTTTCCAGCTGAGGCTCTTGTGCCTGGCACCATAGTTTATGGCTAACTGTAGCCTGATTTCTACTTATTTTGTATATTGGGCTTCTACATGAGAGTTTGCTTGAAGAAAGGCCCCCACTGCTAGAGAAGGAGAAGGAGGAAGAGAAGAGGAGGACACAATCCAACTCCATCATATTCCCACAGAGAGAAACTAAAGCTCAGAAGGGGAAAGACATTTTCCTGAAGTCACACAGCTAGCCAGAGGTGGAGCCAGGACTGGAATGGCTCGTGTTACCTGCTGTAGCAATGGCTTTTCTCAAAAGCAACTTCACTGCTGAATGGTCTGAACAATTACTTTCGAGGGTTTATTTTTCCCATGCAGCATTTACTTGGTGGTGAACCCCTCATTGGCACCTGAGTCTTTGTGTATCAGGGTCAGGGTCTTCTGAGTGCCCCAAAGGGCTGACTAGGTGACAGCCTGGCTGGCACTATTAGGGTGAGAATCCCGGCTTGGTTGGGGCAGGGGGAACATGGAAAAGGGCTTGTGTGCCCCCAGTGTCCCTCCAGTTCCAGGTGCAGACAGGGAGCATTTCCAACAAGCTCTCTGATTCAGGACGCTGCCTGGGCCTCGCCTGACTTGGTCATCCAAGACCACTCTCAAGAGAGGGAAGAGGTCCTCTCTAGCATCCTTGTGTCTAAGTGGTCCTCAGCCCCTCTGTTATCCACAAATGAACACCAGCCCCCACATTTGCACTCCAGTGTTCAGACCTGTCTTGATTACCCCAAACCCCGACACCTGCCTCCTTCATGCTTGTCCCCCTTCTCCTTGGATTTATCAATGACAAGAGGACCTGAGGCACTATTCACAGAGGATGTGCAGCCAACACTGCTGGATAATGCGCCCCAGGATTCTATGACTCTGAAAGCAGCAGCTCCAACACCAGCCACCTCCCTGCCTGCGGGGCCCCTCGCCGGTGCCCAGCTCCGAGTCACTTCTCAACACAGTCCCGCATCAGTGAGCGCAGAGACATACGTCATTGCCTTCCAGTTCAAACACTTCGAACTGCAGGGAGATGCGGTACTGAACAGGGGCCACCACCTGCCAGACACAGTTTTTGTTTGTGGGATACTCCTTGGGCCACCCAGGGCTGGTGATGGTTCCGTTCAGCTTGGTAATGAAACCGCCACAGGCCACTGCACGAGGGAAGCAGAAACAAGATTCATTTGGTTTTAGTTCCAAGTGACTGCAGTTTCCCCCAGGCAGCAATAAGCCCTGCTGTTCTTCAGTATTAATGAAAAAAGTTAGGCAATCTGAACTGATGAATGTAGTGTCCTTTTTTTCTAACCTAATTGCTTCGACTGAGGATTTGGAGGGACAGAACTGAGAAGAGTCTTTACTGCTTTTAAAAATGACAGCCATGCATTTGACCTGTGGTCAGCACAGGTGGGGGTTCCACATAACTTGGAGCAAAGGACAAATAGAAGTGTTTGCATCAAGCTGTTCACCACACCTGGATTGCATTAGCAAGCTGATTCACACAGGTGGGCAAGGTGCACAGACCCTGGCCAGGGAGAAAAGGGACGGAGGAAATAAGCTATTAGTCCACAGCCAGCCTGTTGCCCCATCTCTGCCCCATCTCTCCTAAAACTTGCCACCCTCCCCTGCCATTCCAGCTTGGGAGGACCAGCACCCACCTTCACATGTCTTCTTGTCCGTGGCCAGCTCATAGCCGGGGTCGCAGGCACACTTGTAGCTACCCAGTGTGTTCACACAGCGCTGCTCGCACCCACCGTGCTCAGGCCTGGAGCATTCATCCACCTCTGCTGGGGAGGAAGGCACCCCGCTAAAATCATCACACAGCTACCTGGCCGACTCCCCGCCCTTCACATCCCAGGGACCCCAGCTGGAGTCTTCCAAGAACCAGTGCAGTCCTGCTGACCACCTCCAAGGAGCCCTGTGTCCACATTTGAACTGGCGGTAGCTGTAATTTGGGTGGGATCCTGACAACCCAAGCAGGAGCACCTGGTCAGCCAGCGTGGGGCTCCTCCTGGGGAGCCCATTCCTGGACAATCAGATTCTACAAGGTGTCCAGTAAGCAGTGTGCATGTGTGTGATTTTAAAAAGTCTCACAGGGTTCCATACCATTTAAATGCCATGGAATGGAGGATTCCCACCCCCTAATATAGAACTTCTCAGAGACATTCACAAAAAGGGAACGATGAAAGGACACTTTTCTAGTTGAAGATGTGTAAGTACTATAGACATTAAAAGTGAAATCTGTCATTCAGCTTTCTTATAGATAGCCTCAATAAATATATGTAGGGAGATCTGAAAGATTACAAAAAACACTGGGCTTCTCATTGCTCCCGGAAGAAACTGCATGGAGAAGCCAGGGGGAGAAAGGGTGGGGGAGCCCGAGGGATTCAGCACCGACAAGCTCCTAAGGGTGCGTTTGGAGCATTAAATTTCAGGAAGTGGAATACCATGAGTGCCATGCAGAAGAGCACAGGAGCCATTGGAGGCTCCTCCCCCCACGCCAGCCCAGGCACTACTGAAGACAAGACAAATCCTAGCAACTGGCATCTCCAAAGAGCATTAGGAATAAAAGGAAAAATATTCTGCATTGCCCTGGAACATCTAGCCCTGAAAAAACGCTTGCGGGCTGCAGTCCACAGAGGTAGAGGAGTCTAGCCGAGGGACAACAAAACACTGAAAATAGAAAGTCCAGCCTGGGAAGAGGAAAGGGTAGAGCGGGGCAGGAAGGAGAGTATTGTTCCATAACAACACGGAAGACAAGAAGAGCGTGGACGTGGAGTTGTTCCCCAAACTGTGAAGAAGACATGACACTTGTAATGACAGAAATCAGGACATCTAAGAAAGACACCCAGTCTCCCACCGCAGGCAGGGGTCCTTCTCCTAACAGTCCCAATGGATGGCTTTCTAGATCCTGCCTGAAAAGTCCAGGGCAGGGCTCTGGCTACTTCTCGAAGGTGTTTCTTGGATTGTGTGACTCCATGCAAGTCCCAACCCAATGGCCCTGCAAAGACACAAGTCCTCCAGCCTCACCCCACCCTCTCCGCTGTGCTTTCCCTACTTGATGAGCCTGTGAGTGCCGATCTCCCCTTTCTGGGCTGCACCAATTTCTCACCGACCTGGATGGCATGTAAACATCCCACTGCTTCACACAGTTGCTAGTAAACTGAGGTACCCCTCAGGGTGGGGTGTTCTTGGGCTCAGCAGTGGCCAGTTAGGGGCCACTGGGATTGAAGATGGCCCAGGCAGGGAGTTGAAATTATCCGTGGCCTCCAATAAATTTAATATTAAGTACTTTGAAATAGTCACCATCAGGCAATTGTTTTTTCCTCACCTTACAATAGGAAAAGCCCTTTCTTAGACATCAGCTAGAAAATATAGAAAGAAGAGAACAGATAACAAGAAGCAGTGGACGGAACCCAGGCCTTCAAGTGAGACAAGCCAGGCTGGGTCCACCAAGGGCTCTTCCCCACCAGATTGCAAACTGGGTGACCACTGGGATTTAACCCCTCTGAGCCTCCCTCCTGTGCAGGAGCAGGAGAAGAACGGTTCTTGCTTTGAGGGGGTAATTGGAAATGGTGCCCATGAAGTACCCAGCGTACGGGGCGCAGGGGGATCACTACAGACAACAGTGGAGTGGCTGCTGAAATTCAGTGGGTAGAGACACACAATGATGGGGGAGTGGAAGGAGAAAACTACCTGGCCACACCTGAACCAGGTGAGTGGAGCAGTGCAGGCCTGAGGAGGGGAAGGAGCCAAGGTGCGGGGGACAGAATGATGGAAAATACATCAAGGATGGACCTGTGGAGGAAGAACAAATGGGCAGGAGGAATGCACAGCAGACGCTAAAAAATGGGTGAAGGGCAGAAGGAAACCAAGGAGTGTCTGTCAGAGTAGATGAAGACAAACAAAGGCCCAAGGCAGGGACAGGAGGAATTCTGATGCCAGAAGATACAGTGGCGGTGGGCAGAACACAGAACYATGGATAAGTTTCTCGTTGCCATCTTAGCCAGGTGCAGGAGGGAGTCCAGTGGAGTGGACTTARGCCTAAAGCAAAGGAAATGCAATTCCTGCAAAGACTGGAAGGGTAAGGCATTGAGCAGGCCAGGGGGAGAAAGGGTGGCCTTTTCAAGAGTGGTGGTGGTGGCATCTCACCACTTCTTAGATGTACAAAAGTGTCTCAGGGCCCTGCTCTCAGCGGGAGCCTGGTTGTCTGCATCACCTCTGCGATGCCACAAAGTAGCATCTGCTCCAAGTCCACTGGCTCCTGCTTGCTCTGGGCTGTTGTGGCCAAGGCCAACCAGCCAGGGAGAGCACAGAGGTAGGTAGGAGAAGAAGCTGGAGCCAAGACTCTGCTCAGTATGGTCAGCTCTGGCTTCTTTCTATGCTCTGGGTGGAATAAGTAGATGGAGCCATTCTGTGGCTAAGAGATGGTTTAGGCAGGATCCCAAAAAATGTTTTCAGAGAGAGTTGGGGAAAGGGGCGAGAGAACTTTTGAGGAAATGCCTTGAAGGAAGCCAGTCCCCACCACTAGACACCCAGCACTGCCCATGTGCACTGGACAGTGGAACATGGGGCTCAAGGTGGAATCCTTGCATTCGTCATGGAGGGGGCGTGGGACCAACTGGCCCACCCAACCCCTGAAAGCCACTGCCATCTCCCAAAGCAACAGAAGCCCAAGGTGCTCTGCTTGATGCCCAGCCAGCAGGCCCTCAGAGGGGCTGCCATCTGGCATCAAGAGATGAAGGCTGAGGCCAACTGGCACCCCGGCCAGTGTCATGGGCCAGCTGGGCCCTGGGCAGAGCCTGCTGCCAACTGGCACCAAGGCAAGAGCCTCTTCTCGCTCCAGCTCTCCTGCAGGCCTTGTAGTTACACTTCCAGTTTCTTTCACTGGCTCAGTCCTGCCACACGAGCTGGTCTGGCTGGGAGAAGGCTGGGCTGAGGAAGCTGGTCATTATGATTCCTGTTCTCTTTCTTGCCATCCCCAGGATGCCTCATAAAGAGAAAAAGAGTAACCCCACATCTCGTGTGTGGCACTCAGCTTATAAAATGCCTCCACAGACACCATTTCACAGGGGCTTCACAGAAATTGGTTAGAGAAAAGGGGCAGATATCCTCCTCCCTACTCTACAAAGGGGACAACTGAGGCTTCAGTGAGGACACATGGCTGCCTGCTTGGGTGATATGGTTAGAAGAGGGTTCTTCGGACACCCAGATCCTTCATGTAAAATCTGGAAGAGGGTCTAAAAAGCAGGCAGAAGGGAGAAGGGAGAAGGGAAGAGGGACTAGGATCTCTGGGCTGGCAGGGCCAGGAGCCCAGGAGAGGTGGAGAGACAGAGAAGCAGCCTCCCTGGGCGGGAGTAGCTGGGCAGCTCAGGAAGTGCTGGCACTTATGAAGGGGTCTCCACTGCAGAGGACAGGCTGTCTCTACGAGGACTGCAGGAATGCTCCTGGGCGCCAATCACAAGGCACTGAGCAACATCCATGTTCTCCTCCTAGGGTGTGGTCTGCAGGACACCAGGGGCCCCCGGGAACAGACAAGGAAGACCCACCATTCACAGGAGGCTTGGAAGCCCGCCCTGGGGCCAAGTATGCTGGGGCTGCTTCCACCAAGACCCTACAGAGAAGCAGGTCCCCAAGGAAACAAGGAGGTTTGTTCCCAGAGCATCTCCTACTCTGTTCCCCCCACACTCCCCCAGGGGAAGGCATGGGGGCTGGGGGCTGACACTTCAGGAGCTGAAGTCCTGGGGTTGCCTCTGGCCCACACTAAGGAGTGCCAGGCAGCACCCTAGGAAGAGTTTGATCTGGGAAGTCACACTGTGTTGGGCTCCTCCATCTGCCACTTTCCTGGCTGATCCTGAGCAGCCCTATTCAGTGCTGATCAAATGTAACCCAAACCTAACTCAGGGGCTATTTGGGGAATTCCGTGACCTCAAGCAAATCAAGTACCTAACACAGCTCTGGCACACAGTAGGTGCTCAACTGATGATCACTTCTATATAAATATTTGTTATTATGGATGTTCGGCTTCCCTCAAGTGTGGTTTGACCTTGTCAGCTTGCTAAATCGAATTTCCAAGTACAGACCCACTGGCCCTGCAGAGGCTAAGGCTGAGCCTTCTCCGGATCAGTTGGAGGCTCCACGGGACCCTACACGCAGCTCTGAAATGGGTCGCTGCCTCCTCCCTGCAAGGAGTCTGCTTTGGTGCTGAGGTGCCATATGGGTTTTATGATTCTAACACTGGGGGAGCAATATTTCTTCCTGTGACTAAAAGGGGAAGCGAAACACTAATTCATACCCTTGAAAAAATTGGCCGCAAACCCCGCCTTGTTGATGGAACCATCGGACACAAACTTCATCCACAGTCTGTTGGAGCTCGATTTCACATCCTCGGGCTTCTCGTAGCCACAGAAGTGGCCAATCAGGGCGCTGTCTTCCGTGGGGCCATCCCGGATCTCCAGGTAGTCGTAGGCGCAGCTGTCATGCCTTTCAATCTAAAGGGAGACACAGAGACAGTGTGGAAGGTGGCAGATGGCAGGGCTTCATGGTGTCCCACTTGAGAATGAAGCCTAGACTTCACCCTCACGAGCTAACCCAGCCGGCGTGTCCTGAACTTCTCCAAACTGTTTCCTTGTTACAGAAGTCAGGGGCGAATCAAGCTGAGAAGAGAATAAGAGAAACAGGGAAGAAGGATTCTACAAAACTGCCCTGGATTCCGACCTGGGGCCCTCAGCCTGCCCACAGCAGCCTGCAGAAAGGAGGTGAGACAAATTTCAAAACAGACAAAAATTTTGATATCCGATGTCCAGGCACGACTCACAAGGGGCTTGAAATGGCTTCTTGGGTTCCCGACTATAACATGAAGACATATCTTTACAGAGTGCTTTTCCAACAAAAGCTGCCACTTACTGCCTCCCAGGTAAGACAATTCGAGGGTCCTTACCTCGAAAGCTTGGAAGGTAAGTCCCACGTGGAACCCCTCAGAAACCGTGATCCTCCACACACATTCCTTGGAAGGCCTGTAGTCATCTGGGTAGTTGGGAGATTGGATCTGGCCGGCATCTTTGTTAATGTCTCCTCCACAGGTAGCTTTAGAAAGAGTGTGGGAGGAAGGAGGTCAGAGGAAGGCAGGAGGCCGCTTGTCACCAGTAGGTGGCTCCACGCACCAACATTTTCATCTGCATCCAACAAAGGCTGCCTCAGAAAGGCACAAATGCATCTGGATTTTTTTCATATGAAGAAAATAACCATATGGAGCCTTCCTGGGGCATCAAATTCACCTGGAAGATCACTCCAACTGTGGATGTCAGAGCCACACTCCCAGAGGTTCTGATTTGAGTGGCTCTGGGGAGCGCTGCACAGCAGCCGTGTCCTGGGGTGATTCTAACACACACTGACTGTGTGGGCACATGTATGCACGCTCACACACTCACACAGACAAGAATGTTATTGTTATTATTAGTGTTATTATTATTCTACGAAAAAACCCCTCCAGCCTCTCCAAAAGTATAATAATTTGAGGCCAACAGGAGCCTTCCTAATTTTCTAGCAGTGTCCCTTTTTTTTCCCCCCTAGGGTGGGGCAGGTGGTGTGAGGAGTGAGCCAGAGAAGCTGGGCACATAGAAGCAGCATTACCCTCCTGTAATCCCAGCGGCTTGGGAGGCTGAGGCAGGAGGATCACAAGCTCAAAACCAGCCTCAGCAAAAGCCAGGCGCTAAGCAACTCAGTGAGACCTTAAATAAAAAAATAGGCTCTAAATACAAAATAGGGCTGGGGATGTGGCTCAGTGGTCAAGTGCTTCAAGTTCAATCCCCAGTACCAAAAAAAAAAAAAAAAGAAGAAGCAGTATTACTTTCTATGGCAGCGCTTTTAAGAAGTGCAGTTTCTTCCCTGGTGTTTTCTAGAGTTTTCTTTTCACAAGTGAAACAAACAGAGACCCAGAGAGATCAGGTTCTTTGCTCAGGCTCACACAGCTATTCAGGGGCCACTGCTCTATAACCCTGACACTATCCCTGTGTGGGTAAAACACTCCCTGGATGGTGCGGAAGGAGGGTTCAGCAGGCTGGTGACAGGTAGATGCCTCGGGTTCTGAGGGGAGCRCAGCTGCTCTCTGCTTTCCAGCGGTGGCAGAGGCAGCCCTGCAATCCTCAGCGTGCACCCGCGGGCCCCAGGCTCTGGCAAGCTGCCATGCATCCCCGGGGTGGGAGAGGGATAGCAGCCTGTGTGGGAAGGACAGCAGCCACCTGAGTGGCATGAACAAACCTTCATACACTGCGAAGAAGCCTTTGCCCAGGATGTTGCTGCTGCTGCGGAACTCTACCCAGAGCCGGCTGTCGGTGGAGACCACGGGCTCTGGGACTTTATCGCCACAAAACCTACCTGAAAAGTGCAAAAGACCCAGTCAGGATACCCAGGGACGCCAAGAAGGTGCTCACTGCAGACTGACCATCATGGTCTTCCAAAGTGGATTGAAGTGAGCAATAACCCAACCAGTGACAGCTGATCTATAGCACACACAGGACGGATTGAATGTCTGGTGATCATTCTCCTGTGCCTCGTGTGGAGAATTCCAGATTCTGATCACTCTAAGCACCCGGGGTACCACTGAGGCCCCTCCCCTGCCAAACATGGCGGCTCTGCAGGTGTGGCGGAAGGGTGGTCAGGGAGTGAGACCTGCTTCTTTGCTGTTTCCTATTCTTTCATCCCCCAAGGCAGGGGACATTCTGCTTTCCTTGCCTCAAGAATGGAGGCCAGAGAAGACACAACAAAGAAAATGAATCCTGGCTTTTGAATCTCACAAGCCGAGTCACGATACAGAAGATGTGGAAGCCCGCACAGTGATTGAGTGCACATTTCCTCACCCTTGGAATCTTAGGTTCCTAGGAGGCAGGAGGGAATGGACTAGGAGGCAGGGTTGGAGAGGGCACCATGCAATCCCTAAAAGGATCTGTACCACCCTGAGCTGAGACTGTATGGAAAAGGACAATAGAAACCTCAGGCAGGTTTTAGGATCTGGGAGAAGCAGAAAATTGCATCATCAGTCYTGGGCCAGAGTCTGAGGAGCAACAGGACCCTAAGATTCCCCTGCCCCTTGTGGGGTCAGAGCAGAAGTGTCTACATGGTTCTGCAAGACACTTGGCCATGAGACAGGAATGCAGAGCTCCTCCGCAGAGCATGGTATAGCTCAGCAACACAATTCTAGGCTGCTGTGGGGCTGCAGAAGCAACTTTCTCACAGTCCACAGAATTTGAGGAGGCAGAGAATGTCTCCCTAGCTTGGAGGGAGATGTGGATGTGGTACCATTCTGAACTGCCCTAGTGTTGAGGCAAAGAGGAGACTCAGTAGCCACTTATCTGACCAGAGCACTGATTAGTTGGAGATGAGGACATCCCAGCAAGGCCAGTCAGGATGGCAATATGGAGCATGCCCCCAACCCAGGGGAAGAAAGYACAAGTTGAATGAAATCAAGTTCCTAATACCTGATAGAAAAAGGGCTCATAATAGATAGATATTTTTGTTCTTGAAAAAAAAAATCCCAATATTTCTTAGACACTTGTATATGTGGTCTGAAATCTGGACCCTCTATGGAGGATGCCTTCCTGGTACTTCCTAGAACATGGTGATCCATGGTCATGGGCAGGGATGGGGTGGGGCAGGAATGGATTGAGTCTCACTGGTCAGAACTCAAAGCAACCAGGGTTGATGGGGACCGGAAGTTCATGGTTCTGCCAGGCACCTATTGTGCAGTCCTCAAAGAATTTATTTAGCTTTGGGGACAGGAGTAGTGGGGAGACTCCAACAAATATGGTGTTCTTTGGAGGATGATGGAAATATTCTAAAATTGATTGTGTGCCTCTGTGAACATACTAGACACCACTGAATTTAAATGGTGAACTTCACAGGTTGTAAATTTTATCTCAACTCTTTTATCTAAAGTTCATTTAACAGATCTTTAGTGCACACTCGCTGTCAATGCCACATCAGGCACGGGGCAGACGACTTGAAGCTGTACTTCTGCTTTACCTTCCTGAGAAAGAGGGGAGCAGCGAGACTGGGGGAGGTCTAGATGTCATGATGGGCATTTTTTAGTGGTCAACTGTGGTTTGTATTCTTTGGGGAGAGATGGGATAGAGAGCCGCTAATCTCTGCTTCCTTTTGATTCTGGGCACCTGTAGACATTTGGATTTGGTAAGCTTAATATTCAGAGAGATGAGATGAAACCKCTGCAGAGACTTTGGCAAGAAAAAAAATCCCTCAGAAGCCTATAAATTTTCGGTAATTGTTCCTCTGGCGTGGCCAATTAGTTTCGATTAGTTTTTGGAAAAAGACACATACCAGCGCTCGCCAGCGGGGAGACAGCGCGCTGAACAGCAGTTAGACAATGCCAGTCCACAAAGGGAATTCCTTCTTAGCCTAGCCCGAGTTTCAAGTCCAAGTTCCTGCTTTTAAAACCCCAGCTGTCACAGTCAATGGGGACTATTTCCAAAAGAAAAAGGGACACTGGCTGCCTCACTGCCCGAGGACCTAACCGGATAAGAACCACCCACCAGCCTAGGGTCAGAGGATCAGCAGCCTCTGCTCTGGACCCTGGAGAAGGGAGGAACTGCGGCTGAGTATATTTGCAGCCTCTGCAAAGCCAGACTTGACCGGATAGATTAAAAATCTAAGTGCTCTCCCCCAGTTGCTTTTTCATTCTTAACTGGACCCCATTACCTGGCCCCTAGAGTAACACCCCAGCATTCTCAGCTTTACCACAGTGGCTCTCAGAAAAGTCCCTTTGTCACTGACCATGTCCATGCCAGCCACCGTCCTAGGCACTTCATGTGGCTTTATCTCACTTCATTCCCGATATTCCCTGACCTCAGTGCTATTGCTAACYCATTTCATAGGGGAAAAAAATTGAGGATCAGAGAACTTTTCTCAAAGCTGGAAATGGAAACAGAATTTGTACCTCGTCGTCTGAGATCTGGCCTTTCACCATCGATATTACCTCCTTCATCATCACCACCATCAAAAGGAACGTGGGTGAAATTCTGAACACTGCACAATTTTGGATAGATAGACTTGGACTCTGCTCTCTAGGAATGTAAGCACCATGTCCATTTCCCAGATTGGAAACAGCCGAGTTCCTCCAAATGAAGGTCAAAGCCTCTCAAAGCCTCACACCGGGAAGCAAGTCTAGTGAAACAGCGGTCTTGGCTGCTGGCCTCACTCTATCATTCCTGTTGGTTCGGGAAGCTGCTCCGGCTTAGGGCACTCCACAACAGTGAGGCCACATGACACTGATGGCCAGACTGGCCTTTCTGAACTTTCTTCCCCATTTCAGGGAAAGGGGGCTTTTGTGTGTATGGTGGAGTTCCAGAATGCCCAAAACTAGGTACAAAAGTTCCCAGATCTGGAGGAGGAGTTTAATAAGGATATCAATTACTGAAAATTATAGGCTTCTGAGGGATTTTTTCTTAGAGTAATTCCTCTAACAGAAATACGCAAGAGGAACTCAGTTTCCAGGACAGTGCTTAGAAATACTGGACAGGTTCTCCATGCAACATCGCCTCCTGTCTTTCAGCACGATCTTTTAAGTGGCCCCTGAAACTGAAAAACCAATTTGAGATCTGTWCCCAGTTATGAAATGTTCTTCTGGTCCTTAATTTTCCCTTGAAATCGCTATGTGAAAATCTGGGTCCCAAACAGCCTCCTTYCAGGGAGAATAAATAGGCTGGAGAGAAACTGGAATAGAGAAAAGGTATCAAATTCCTAAACTGAAATCTGGTTCCCGGATCTGGAGGAGGAGTTTAATAAGGATATCAAGAAGAGGAAATGCAGATGAGGACCACTACAAGTGGGCTCCATGGGGAGTCATAAAGGGTTCATTCATAAAAAGTTATGCGCGCATTATGCCTGGATTTTCACACACTGCCCTGGGAAAAAATGCAACGCACAGTTTTTCAGAGCAAGATGCATACTTTCACAATCCACCCTAATCCGCTCTCCCTCCTGCCAAAGGGGCATTGACCTGCCTCCTTCCAGTAGATTTCATGGCACTGACCCCTCCCAGGGACCGGCTCTGCTGACACGGTGCACTTGTTCCAAACACAAAAGTTCACTAACAACTGCATTTGGAAACATCACAGCGGGCCAAAGAGTTGGCAAAGGAGAACTGCCGCGGAGGAAGAATGGCGGTCACAGAAGCTGAGCACGCGCACACATACCATACCACATAGCACACACCACACACACACATACACACACATACCACACACACACCACACACATCACACAGCATACCACACACACACACACAC